CCAAACCCCCCAATCCTATGGCACGCCCAACCCCCCAATCCTACGGCGCGCGTGAAACCCAGTCTCACAAAGCAGTAAGGCAACCAGTGCCAGCTCAGCAGTCCTCAGTCAGGGCATGCCTGAACCTACATCAGCCCACCCTGACTCAGTAAAGACCATCAAACTCAGCCCCAGCGGTAGGCACCCTCAGCATTGCCAACCATACCTCTCCAACCTACCCCATACAATCTACCCCATACATGACAAACAATCTACCCGATATATCCCTTCTTTTTGTTAAACTAGGAATCAAATGTGTAGTTGGCAGACCCAACCTTCTGAATGGTCAAGCTGGACCTGCAACTCCTCAGCCAACTGAATGAGTTCATGATGTCAGTGGTCAGTTGTCAGTTCAGAAAGGGTCTTAGTTAGCTGAACAACATGAAATTCTTGCAGAGCACCATAGACTGAGCATCCAACCAACTGGTGGTAATGAAGCTAGCAGCCAGTGGCAACAGGGCCTCAAAGTTTGACATGTCATGTGGCACAGTGTGTGAAAATTCAGTTCTTGTAGAAAGATCTGCTTACATGCTGTGCGTGATGGCTCTTTTTGGACCTCCTTAGCAAGTGGTATAGAGGCTGTCTTTTTCAACTTTCAACTCGCACTAATAAGCACCCAAAATCAAAAACTAGATCTGTCACCAAAAGCCGGATCTGGCAAATGTCAACTAGCATCAAGCAACTGTCAGGACTTGAGGCTTTACCTGTTTTCCTTGGCCCCTTCAATGTTTGGCGCCGGGACCAAGTACAGCCCCCAATGCTTGAACACTGGCTTACTGTTCTCAACTTGCCAGTCACCATCCTGGTTGTGTGATGTCTGGGCACACCACAGCCGCCCCTTATAAGGAACAAGCATTGAAATGACCAACTCTCTGGCTGCCAATGCCCTCACACAACTGTCAACTGTCGCTATTTGGTTGCCAGGAAATGCAGTCCACTCAGCTAATTCCTGCCAGTGAGCCTCCAACAACTTCTCCTGGATAAAGAACAGCGTTGGGTGTGTCTTGCAGACCTCGTGAAAGATTGCAACTGCGCCATCGTCATACCACCTCACAGCTGAACCGATGTCACAGGCTCTTACAATGACCTGTCATGTCAATGTCATAAATGAACAAAGGGCTGATGTCCACCAATTTGAGCAAAGATACTCACGACTGACTTCTGACACCTTCCCAAAAGCACGGGACTCCTCAACTCCCCACTTCATCAGCCTCAGGGCAACGCACATGCCGCTGGCAACAAAGGATTTACAGTAACAATCAAAAATAAAGAAAGAAAACTTGTACACACAAAGAAGAACATTAATCATTAGTGTTCAAACTTGGAAACATGATGAGTACATTCTTGGCGCCCTCTTCAGCAGCGACAGTACCAGGTTGAACTCCCTGCTGGTATTCTTGGATTCGCCTCTTGATCGCATCCTCGTCTATGCCCATTGACAACAGAAATGCAAAAGCAGTTTCAGAGTCTACCTCTGCCAAAACCGGCATCACGCTGCAAACACTAACAGCTTGTGGCCCTTGCCAGACCTAGACTCATCTTGGGCCCAAAACATTCACTCCAAGGTTGACTCCAAGACATCCACTTGTGGCTCAATTATTTGTCAAAAGCTTCAGTGGAGGCCAATCGATGACACATCATTACACATTGAACCACTGAGCAGTGGACGTTCAGCTTCAGCGGTTTCATATTGCCTACATGAGCTGCAGTTCTCCATGAATGAACTTCAGTATGCCTGCAGTTGACATGTTGAATGCAGAGTTGTAAAAACTGAGTAGGCAACGTGCATCTGACCTTGAACCGGGCGCAAAAGCAGCTGCATCAAAAGCAAAGTGACGAAGAAGATGATGATGACAGTGGTGATGCCAGTTGTCAGTTACTAACACTGAACAGGGTACATCAACATCAAGCTTTCAGTGCCACAGACATTTGCCAGCTGTCAGTTGAAGCGCAGACTGAGCACCACCATACCACAAGCAACTGGCAACAAAGTGAGCCTGCGACTTGCAAAATGCAATGACAGTCACAAAGACAATCCATTAGCTACTACTTGCCAGCAGCTCTTGAAATGAAGCTGTGTTCTGAACCCAGCTGAGCCCTACGCTGGCTCAAGGATGAAGCCTTTACAGTCCAACAGTTGCTATTGACATCAAGTCAAAAACAGGAACAAGAGAACGTGAAATTGGGCAACCTGAGCATCAACTGCTGACTCTGACATCAATTACATCGCTAAAGGCATGACAGGAGCACATTATTTTGTCGCTTTTGTTGTTCGAGTCCAGCTTTGAAGTGGACTGACTTCAAAATCCGCTAAGCCACCACACCTGACAACTGGCATCTGAGACTCCAAGACCTCACAAAGAATAGCACACCAGGATCCCAACTAGCAAAGCAGCCACAATGTGGGAAGTAAATGCGTTCCCGGACAGCTCTTGTGCCTGAGCAGGGCTCAAGTCAGCGATAGCAGGTCCAGCAAAATGTATTT